GTGAATCCATTAAACCTCTTTCCTTTATAAATCACCCAGCCTCGGGTATGTCCTTATAGCAGCATGAGAACAGACTAGTACAATATGGATGTGTCTACATGTGATGAAGTAGAGAACTACACCAACACCATTTTGAAACTGCAACAGGAAGCAAGTTTGAATGCAGCAACACAACCAGATAGAACTGAAGGAGAGCTGATCCCGTGTCTGATACATAAGAAGTTAGTGAGTTATTTTTACAGGATGATGTAAAAGCAGCAAGGATGTTTCGTCCAACATTCTGATGGATGGGAGCCACGTTCCCTGAGATAGGTGGATATAAAAGACCTACAGAGGACAGCTTTGCAGAAGAAAGCCTTCCTTTGCAAACAAAACATTTTCCTGGTCCACTGGCACCACGTCTTGCTGTGATTCCTGTCTCCAAGGATGCTATAGCATCCCCACTGGCCCAGCCACCACCATCTGCTCCTCTGACATAAGCTGTCAATGTGAAGTCTGCCTGTCCTGCACCTGGACCCATGGGATCAGCTTCCTTCAGCCCACCTGCTTTGAAACCTGCCCACTGCCCTGCTGCATGCCTGACTCTCACGTGCCCTCCTGTTGTCTGCTCAACAACAGCCACCCAGTTCCAACCCTGACCGGGCTCTCTGTCACCACCTGCGTCCAGCCTTGGGAGTGTGAACCACCTTGCTGCTAGCCAAAGAGTTTGCCCACATTGCCCTAAGAACCTTCAGTAGTCATTAAGGGCTGCTCAGCAAATGGTCTTTAATTAGGTGCTCCTGAAGAAAATATTATAGCACTGTGCCTTCAGTTTTACAAAAGTTTTCTCTTCCTGCTGTGAGCAATGATTTCAAATGAGAAATGGAAGAAAAATGCTATCATGGATCTCCTTACTTCAAAACTAAATGAACACCTCTACTCCCAACCACATACTGTCTCAACATTTAATGCTATAATTGCCCAATGACTCTTGACACATGCATCATAAACTTATAAATATATCCAGCAGAATTACACTTTCTGATGACATCAACATAAATTTCATAACCAAAAAGAGACCTCTCAGGGATACGTAGATACCTGAAGTAAACTGTGAGGATAGTGACATGCATGAGGCTCAAAGCTCAGAATTGTTTTAAATGCCAAGCTCAGCACCTACCTTTGATTTTTTTTTCCCCTGCCTCTAAATAAACTCACATGTGTCCTTTAAAGAGCCAGGGAAGCTGGCAATTTGAGATCAATATGCTCACAGAAAGGACCTTAAAGATTGAGTTAAGCCCTATTTTTTCACCATCTCATTTAGGTAGATCTTTGAATTTAAAAATGTTTTGACAACTGTAAAGCAATTCACACAAAAAATGAATCACTCTCCTTATATATAGGGTTACTATCTCAGAAGGTCATTATAAAAATAAAAAATACCTGTTTAATTCTAATCTGTAATTTAATCCAATTCAACAAATATTTATCAAACGCCTACCATGTTTCAGGCCTCATCCTAGGTGCATAAGAGAGACAAACGAGACTAAGACACGATGACCACTTCCAAGGGCCTTGCATCGGAGTGAGGAAAACAAATTGAAGTGACAAACTATAAAGCACAGCAGAAAGACACGAGGTTGGAATGGAAGAATAGGCAGCACATTTTATAAGAGCAGAGAAAAGGATGACAACATTTAGAAGAATCACCTAAAGTTTCTTTATGAAGGGGATGCTTGGCTGAATCTTGAGGAATCAACAGGGTTTGGAAAGCAGAGAACTGGAAAGGACACTCTAAGCTAAGGAAAGAGCAGGAACAAGGTCACAGAGGGTACAGTACCTAGGAGACTCCAACCTTCACTTTATGTGTTGTGCTGCATGATTAACACACACACGGCCTCACATAGTCATCATTTTTGTGATGAGAACACTCAATCCATTCTCTTAGCATTTTCCAAAAATGTAGTATATTGTTATTCACTAGAGTCACTATGTTGTACGTGGAGCTCCAGAAGCTGTATAATATTTCAAGGTAAGTTTTAAAAGAGAAGTCAGAGAGAACACAGAGAACGGGAGAGGGTCTGCTTCATATATCCTGCTTGCCAAGCCACTGACTTACTACAGATGAGAGAGACTGGTAAGTCGAGAGTAAGTAAACATTAAACATTTCCCTGATGATTTCAATACCAATTGATTAACTTTGAATTTTATACTATACTGAGAAGGCCACTTGAATTTGTTTCTCTGTTCTTCAGTGGTAAAGTGTAGGTAAGGATTGAGGCAGGAGAATAGCAAAGGGAATTAAAACTTTGATAAAGGGCGGAGTGAATAAAAGCAGAGAGCAGAAGCAAAGTGAAGGAGCAGATAAGCAAGATAAGAAGCAGAAGTTAGACCGGGTACGGTGGCTCAGTCTTAATCCTGGCACTTCGGGAGGCCAAGGCAGATGGATCACTTGAGGTCAGGAGTTCGAGACCAGCCTGGCCAACAAGGTGAAACTGCCCTCTCTACAAAAATTAGCCGGGCGTAGTGGCAGACACCTGTAATCCCACCTACTCAGGAGTCTGAGGCAGGGGAATCGTTTGAACCCAGGAGGCGGAGGCTGCAGTGAGCCGAGATCATGCCATTGCGCTCCAGACTGGATGACAGAGTGAGAACCTGTCTAAAAAAAAAAAAAAAAAAAAAAAAAAAAGTGGCAGACATTAAACAGCCAAAACAAAAACTAAGGTAGAGAAGCAAGTAAGGCCCTCATGACCGGCAGGATAAGGGACCAAACCAGTAAGGGGCAACTCTTCAGGAATAGGCATGATGACCCTGTATGAAAATCAGCTCATTAAAGCTTATGCATATGAATTGCATATCATCCTGCACTGAAATTAGGGGCTGGAGATGACGCGCAAGCACACCGGGGCCAAAGTAACTAAACAACGAGCCTGTCAATCAAAGAGGAGGCCACTGGCTAGAGAGTAGGCAGCCTACAGATTAGGCAGCCTTGGGAAGAGAAAACACACACACACACACACACACACACACACACACACACACACACACAGAGACCCAAACTGCACCAAGCTGGTGCTAATCTCATCTCGTAGAGGTCAGTCCGCTCTCCCGCTCTGAGAGTGTAATACTGTTCTCAGTACGCTTTTGCTGCTTTACTTTGCTCTGCGTGTCTCCTCCAATTCTTTGTCTGGGACACCAAAAGCCTGGAACTGCATGGCGCCATCTGGTAACAGTATGATGCTCAACACCCTTGGCATTTGTTATAAATTCCTGCTAATAAATATGATTTGAAGGTTATTTTCTGGGTTTTTTTGTTTTTAACTTTTAAGTTCAGGGGTACATGTGCAGGTTTGTTACATAGGTAAACTTGTGTCATGGAGGTTTGTTGTACAGATTATTTCATCACCCAGGTATAAAGTCTAGTACCTATTAGTTATTTTTCCTGATCCTTCCCTCCTTCCACTCTCCACCCCTCTTAGGTTCCAGCGTCTGTTAGTTCCCTCTATGTGTCCACATATTCTCATCATTTAGCTGCCACTTGTAAGTGAGAACATGCCATATTTGGTTTCTGCATTAGTTTGCTAAGGATAATAGCCTTCAGCTTCATCCATGTTTATTCAAAGGACAGGATCTCCTTCCCTTTTATGGCTGCACAGTATTCCATGGCATATAGATACCACATTTTTTGTTGTTGTTAAAAAAAGATAAACTGGTTGTTTTAACATATAACATAGAAGGTTTACACCAATAACATTTGATATTTTCCACTGATTTTAGTGAACTTACTTCTCTTTTAAACAGATCATACTGGTTTTTGGTAATGTCCCCTCAGAAACCACCCACCAAGAATCTTTGCTTTCTGTTTATTCAACAATCAAATTGCCATGCAACAAGTATGTAATTTAAATTAGATAATACTATCTGAATGGATTTGTGCTGATCATGGAGAGGTATGGGAAGATGTTGGAATCATAGAACAGTACACATTTCAGATTATCTGGTTCAGTTTCTGGCTGACTGAAGTAAAGAATGTTGTTTAAGGCATACCACAAAGGAATTTCAATCTAGTTCAAGACCCAAGATGTGAAAATAAATAAACACGCATAGGGAATAAGTTAGTGAAAAAGTGATTTTTATGAATGTCATAGTTCTAAATTGCATTGGGTCAGATCTCCTGCCAAAATCCACTGTTGTTCTGTGACTCTTAGGATTTCTCCTTTTAATTCCTATTTCATCTTATTTTAAAGTATGTACACCATTCATGTGAAAATGAATCAAGGCTGAGTTTTTTTTTTAATGGTACATTCAATAAAGAATAACCACTGTGTGGATCCTTCCTTCCAGTGAATTTATACTATGTTTCACCACAAGATAGGCATAGCTTTGAGAATAGAGACTCTTTTAGAGAAAACAATCCATAGGATAATACAACCTTGAGAAATTCACTACGAATTTATTAAAAATAATAAAAGGGGTTACGTCCTGTATCATTCTGTCACTTTGTTTGCTCAGCAGAACCTGAATTATAATATTAACAATGTAAACATTTCTGAGATGCCTGTAGTCATAGGAAACATTTATCTGTAAACAGTCATATTCTTGTTGACTTTATTGAGTTGAAAATAGTCCCATTAATCATTTGCATTGCTCATTCTGAAACTAGTAATTGGAAATCACATTATATTATCCATAGTATCTTAAATTAAGAGGGAAAAACAAGAAGAGTTTAGCCTCCAAAATTACAGCTGAATTATCACTTGGATTGATAACCTTAAAAGTCATGTAAGGTTTGGCATGCCAGAAACCTGTGCAGACAAAATGTGATGATCTTGTGACAAAAATGACAAGACAATGAGTCAAAAATATGATTAACTTAATAAGAGTGGGAACTCTTAATGGACTTACATGTAAATGCCAAACCGATTAGAGAATCTTAGTGGAAAAGGGTGCCATCAACAAAACAGGAAGCTTTCCGGTTGGACCAACGCCCAGTGGGGAGGGTATATAAGAGCCCTAACAAGAGAGGAGTCCTTTGTACCTCAGAAACCTCATCTGTCTAAGAAGCTGAAAGCCAACCAGACGCCCATCGCCATGGATTGCTGTGTCCCCTACGGCTGCAGTGTCCCCACCGGGCCGGCCACCACTATCTGCTCCTTCGACAAATCCTGCCGCTGTGGAGTCTGCCTGCCCAGCACCTGCCCACACACAGTTTGGTTACTGGAGCCCACCTGCTGTGACAACTGTCCCCCACCCTGCCACATTCCTCAGCCCTGCGTGCCCACCTGCTTCCTGCTCAACTCCTGCCAGCCAACTCCAAACCTGGAGACCCTCAACCTCACCACCTTCACTCAGCCCTGCTGTGAGCCCTGCCTCCCAAAAAGCTGCTGCTGATGGATGACTACTTTGCTCAGTGCCCGAGAATGAAGAACCTCGAAGCTGTCTCTTCCGTATTCACTTGCCTCAGTAGTTTACCAGATGTTTAAGTAGACCAGATCTGGCCCAGATATGAAGAACTTACCTTTGGTTTTAATGGAGGGAAAAAAAAAACCCCTCCATTAAATTTTTATGGTTACCCCTCCATTAATTTTTATGGTTATTTAGCTGAATAACCATTTGGTTCATGTAGGCAGGTGAAGGTGTTTTATTAGCAAATTACTGTTTGAATCTTTAAGACCTCAGAATACATGTTCTTGGTCACCTTCCTTCCTGGCTCTTATTTCTTGTATTGGGTATTTTCATTGAAGCAAAAGAATTTCTCGGCGGGTTTTTGAATAAACTTTATTTCTCTGGCAAGATGTGCCCTTTGCTTATGTTAGTTTTGGGTATATTTCTTCCGTAACTACTCCTCACCTCTGAAACTGAGTGACCAAATCTAGGTTTTAGTTATTCTTCCTGTATGCTAGCCTGACATGCTGCTCACCTCCCAGTCACTGCAGAATCACTCAGCATTAGAAGGGAACAGTTGTTCCATACAGAACAGCAGCTTCATAAATCATGGAGGCAGCTGAGAGGTTGGCGTTTTTAAACCACAGGAGGTAGTTGGGAATGACTGAACGAGCAATGCATTGAAGAGGGTGAGGCAGAGAAGACAGAAATACTAAAACCTGGACACCAGGGATTCCCCAAAGCAAAGGGGTTTGGACTGAAACTTTGAAGCAATGGAAGATTTCAAGCAAGAGACCGATATAATCATGTTGCGCTTCAAATTGAACTGTCCCTTTTCATTATTAATCTTTGACTTATGTCTTCACTATCCCAGATCTCTCTATTGACTATAGAAAGATGTAGTTAAAACTGGACAACTTCTTGGGGTGTGTCTGTGTGTGAGTGTGTGTAGATTTTTAGCACTCCAAAAATCTACCATCTCATCAAAGATCACCATGTTTTTCCTACATTAGCTTAACAAAAAAAAATCCTTTATTTTTAAAAATAAAATGCTTAGTATTTCTGACACATAGTTTAAACTTCCATTTTTAACCACATAAAAGGTAACTCAATCCCAATAGGTCCTATATTTAGTTTTTAACACATCGGCTCCCAAACCATCTAAGGCAAATCATCTCACCTCTCTATGACTCAGTATCATCCTTTATAAACAAAGGAGAGTAATTTCCAGGTCTCTTAGACCACTGCAGAGAAAATACATTCTAATAAAGTGCTGAAAGTCTTGTCAATAAAAGAGATGAGCTTATTATAATAAACTTGTTACATTACAACTGTTTCTAATTTGTAACCTTGGCTTATTTATGATTAGAGAAACATAATGTGCTGCGTAAACAGTAACAATTTCTCTAAGCTTTTATGGTGAACTCAAAGCATTGTTGTATCCTGGGTTAGAAGCTGATAGCTTTCTGCCATGAATTCTAATCCTGAGGGTCTGCAAGCCATGTTTCCTTTGTGATGTTTCCCTCAAAATAATTTTTTTCTTTTATTTTTTGTCTTTTGGCCTTAGAACCCAGTCTTTGTCCTTCCTATTTTAATGCATAACAGCAGCAATTTATAATAATGTTATGTGTATGAAAAACTCTTCCACCAGACTATAAACTTCATGAGGTCAAGGATGATGTCTATTTTGTTTATTGCTATATATCCAACACTTATCACAGTGACTGGCACATAGTAATTGCTCAGAAAATGTCTGTTGAATTATTTTTAAAATAATAAGTGAAATACTAATCAGTCCTAAGTAAAAGGGTGTACACTTCGGCAGGTATTCATACAAAGATAAATCTGGGGAAACTCCACGAACCAGTAGATACAATGAATTCTCTCTTTCAAGCAGAGCCATAGAAACCTTTTCAAATTTTTAAATTAGTTTATATGCCAACCACTTTCTCTAATGGATGTGATTATTTATTTATTTGTATAAACTTTTAATATATGTGTTTGCTCTTTCCTATAAGGTTGCTGTCTTACTTCCCTTCATCTCTTTTTCTTTTCTCCTTTTGACTATGTTTCTTTTATCTTTCCCTTGCCTTGAATTTGATCTTTAATTTATTTCAATAATGTTAATAATTTATTTTTGCATAGCACTACAGGATTGTTCATGAACTTTCACCCTTTTCATTACATGTGAGCCTCACATGTAATGAAACTTTCTCACATGTAATGAAATTCCTCCACATCTTCTGAGTGGAGGAATATACATGTTATTAACCTGATTTTGCAGAGAAAAGAGATGAGGCTCCTAAAAGTGAATTACTTACCGTAACAAGGAAGATAACCAGCAGCACTGGGAACAGTCAATAGCTGTTCTGACTCCTCACATGGTCCTCTTGACTATACATCCTCATTCCCAAAACATACTGAAATACCCTAGCTTGGCTGTAATAAATACATTTTGAACAATCCTGCCAATTCCATTTTGCCCATCCTGAGCTATGTAAGGCATTCTGTTCCTAGAGCTTGTGGTCTGAGACACCTTGCATCTTTGTAACCAATTTTCTGAGAAACAGGGCCCACTGGCCCATACATCCTGTACCTGCAACTGTGTAAGTGCCTACCCAACATCCTGAGTAAAAAACAACTTTAAATAGAATTTTGTTAGGCACCTCTCCCCCTTCCCCTAACCTGCTCCTTCTGCTTCTGTAATAATCTGCTTGCTGTTCACTGACCCTGAACTGATAGAAAATGTTGACCGCCCTTTGTTCTGGGCCAAGAGGTTTGAGCTCTAGCTGACTCTCGGATGCTGGCCATGAAAAGTGGACTCTCAACAAACTCAGAGTGTGGCACTTCTGTTTAAACTCGCTCGGGCATAACAATACAAACATGCACACTGCTGTGCCTGGGTCTACAGGTGTGCCTAAAGGAGGAGGTGGGAAGAACATGAGAAGAACCATGGCTTGCAGGACACATGAGACCAGGCTGAGGGGAAATGATTTGAGGTGTATAAAAGATATTGGCCACAAGCCCACCTTGTGCTCCGTCTTAAACACTGAACTATGCCTAAAGTCTAAATAGCATACTGGTACTAGAATCCAGGTCTTTCCTCCTACAGCTACATTTGATTTCTGGAAAAAAATGCAAAACCTGTAAAAAAGAGAGAGAGAGAGAGAAAGAGACAAAGAGAGAGAGAAAGCATGAAATCAAATGTCAACAGATTAATCTAGCTCAGGGTTGTGAGTTTCCTTTTGTAACAATTTTAATTGAATTTTAGTTTTGTATTCTTATTTTATTAAGTCTATATAGACGGAAGCTAAATATTCAACTTGCTCACAATTAACAGTGAAGGAAACAAAGCAAGCCAGCTCTCAATAGAAGATAAATGACCAGTATGCATACGAAAGAATGTTTCAATCTAACCGAGTATAAAAGAAATACAAACACGACAACCACAAAATTTTGTTTTTCACCTATGAAATTGGAAAACACCTTTAAAATAAAATATCTATCAAAAATATAGGAAATGGGAATTCATACATATATTGTTGCATTTTAGGTTTTGGGGTACATGTGAAGAACATGCAAGATTGTTGCATAGGGACATACATGGCAATGTGGTTTGCCACCTTTCTCCCCAACACCTATATCTGGCATTTCTCCCCATGCAAATTCTTAATCAAACACACCTGGTGGAAATAGGTAACTTGAAAAAAAAATAGGTAAATAGAACCATTCTGAAGAGCAGTATGGCAATAATATGAAAGGCCTTAAAAATACTGAAAATTAACATTTGTCCCTATAATTCTACCAAATAATTAATTCTGTTTCTGAAATAAACAAAAATATACACAAAGATTTATATGCAGAGGTTCTCTCTATTGCCACAATTACTGTAGAGAAAAGTTAAAAAATAACCTCAATGAATAGTAATACAAAATTTTAAAGTAACTTAGAAGTGCAATTAAAAAATAAATACTAGAAAGTATTAAAAGATCCTTTAAAATATAAGATTATATATATATATATACATATACACAAGTTTCAGAACCTATGCACAATATGATTCCAATAATATAATAATAAATGTTACAAAATATTTTATAATAAAAAACTAGAATAAGTGTTTTTTGAAGTTTTTCCATATTTCTCAATAGCATGTTTCTCCACATTAGTGTAATTTTGACCTTCAAATGCCTCAAAGATAAAAGAAAGTAAAATTAAGCTCAACTTTTTAAAACAAGAATACTTTATCAGAGAAATTGGAATAGATAAAGTGAAAGATTAAAAATCCAGCAGCACTGGAGAGCAGACCCACATATCACAGACCCACTGTCACGCAGTATTCCCCAGCAGGGCTGGTGTTGAAAATATAGTAGCAGAAGGCTTTGGTGATACCTCATAAAGCTTGCGTTCCGTGACAAACAGCAAGAGTAATCAGCTCAGATTTAGCAATGAACTCAAATAAAAGTTAATTAGGAAAATGGGGACTCTTTATGGAGTCTAAATGTCAAACAAATTAAAGAATAATGAGTACACTAACATAAACAAGGACCAGGAAAGAAGCCTCTTGACTGGACCAACTCCCAGTGGAGAGGGTATATAAGAGCCCCAGAGAAAGGAGAGACATTCACACCTCAGAAGCCTCTTCTTTCTTTTCAACCAAACCCATAAATACCGCAGACGCCCATCGCCATGGATTGCTGTGTCCCCTACGGCTGCAGTGTCCCCACCGGGCCGGCCACCACTATCTGCACCTTCGACAAATCCTGCCGCTGTGGAGTCTGCCTGCCCAGCACCTGCCCACACACAGTTTGGTTACTGGAGCCCACCTGCTGTGACAACTGTCCCCCACCCTGCCACATTCCTCAGCCCTGCGTGCCCACCTGCTTCCTGCTCAACTCCTGCCAGCCAACTCCAAACCTGGAGACCCTCAACCTCACCACCTTCACTCAGCCCTGCTGTGAGCCCTGCCTCCCAAGAAGCTGCTGCTGATGGATGACTACTTTGCTCAGTGCCTGAGGTTGAAAAATTCAACCTAGAAGCTTTAGAGTTCACCTAGCTCAGTACCTGCAACTATTTACTCTGCTTAAGAAATTGGGACAAGGACGGTACAATCACAATCACCCCCTGCAAAAAAAAAGAGACCAAGAAATTTTCAGTGACCATTTAGCTATAACCAACTGCAGTTTGAATAGGTGGATGCCAACAGCTTCCTAAAGCTGTTCAATTCCTTCACATTAAAGTGTCTCTTTCTGTGGGTGCTTTGGGAATTCTGTCTCCAGTCGTGGGTCATATCTTTCTGAAAATTAAGGAAGTTCTTCATGATTATCCTAATAAACGTTACATTTCTGGCATAGCACAAATGTCTACAATTACTTCTGTTTATTTCTGTTCTTTCATTAAATATCTTTCTTAACTTTGATCATTGGCATTTTAGGAAAAACTGGAAACACGGGAAACAAAAAATGGTGGCAGTATGGACAAAAATTTCTTAATTTTGCGGTTCTTGCTGTTTTAAGAAAATTAAACGTCCTTGCATATAAGATGGCCTAGCACATCGGCATA